GTGAAACATAAACCAAACAAAACTCTGTGCTTTTTTAGCGGAGTTTAAGGAGAAGTATCGTCGACTCGCTCCGATCGGCTCAGGAGGCCTCAGCTGGTTGTATGAAGGCGTCAGGAGAGCTGACAATCTACCAGTAAGTCTTAGAAACACGTGCTCACAGACATTCATCGTTCACTGATCTTCAGAAAGAACCAACCAAATGATGTGTTTCTGTCTCCACAGGTGGCCATCAAGTATATTCCCACAAGGGCCGTCAGCACCGAACTAGTTGTGAGTAGTTTGATCTGACGACCAGCACAAACTGTTAAAACTAAAACCCTAATGTTTTTTTTCACTATTCTGCCTTGACTGAGGGTAAAACAGGCACAGAAAAGCTTCCACTTTAACAACTGCACAGCTTTGTAGGAAACAAAACCTGAATGTCTTAAATCGTCTGATCCCTTAACAACATCTGCTTAGACCCAAACCTGCCTGTTACTTTGCCTTCTCAGAGCAGCTTCAGCTTCCAGCACAGCAGCTCCTTCACCACCTGATAATTGTGCTTTTATTTTGTTCAGATGCACGATGGGAAACAGTACAGCCTCTTTTCCGAAGTGGCCCTCATGCTGAAGGCTGCAGGTCTATCAGGATCCGTGGGACGGTCCAGTGTAGTGTCCCTTCTGGACTGGTACCTCGTGGGCGGGGAGCTCATACTGGTCACAGAAAGGCCACTCCACAGCTGTGACCTCCACAAATACCTGCAGCACACAGGAGGACACCTGGAGGAGCGTGAGGCAAAGGTACAAACCATGACGGTGGAGTGTTCTTGTGTTGTGTGGTTGAGTTAGTTCACACCACAGCTGGAACGGTCCATTTGTTCACTCTGAGGTTGAGATTCCAGCTGTGTCTCTGTGTGTCTCTATCTCAGATGATCCTGAGGCAGCTGGTGGACGCAGCCATGGACATGCGCAGCAAAGGCGTCTTTCACGGAGACATGACGCTGCAAAATGTCCTGCTGGATTTCAGTGGATGGGTACCAAGAGTGCGTATCATCAACCTGGGCTGCGGTACCTTCTCCACTGAGTCCAGTCAGCACTCCTACAGCGGTATGATATCTGGCTTCTGCTCTTCCCTCATCTGTCAGTGTCATGTTAACAAACAAAGCTTCTCCTCATCTGTTTTATTCTTATTCCTTCCATCTCTGTGTGTCTCCTTCCATTCCTCTGTCGCTGTGTGGACCAGGTACCCTTGCATTCGCCCCTCCAGAGTGGTTTTTAAAAGGGACGTACAGTTGCGGTCCAACCACTGTCTGGCAGCTGGGAGGCCTTTTCCACGCCATGCTGAATGGACAGGGACGCTTTTCAAGCGCGACTGTCATGTACAAGGGTGCTGACATCAGCCGCGAGCTGTCTGCAGGTAAGACACAGTGATTTTGTTTGTTTAATCTTCTTCTGATGGAAGTAAATGTGTTCCTCTGATTTGTTTTTGATGCCTCTCTAAACCTTTGACCTCCTCTTTCTGTCCTGCTTTTCAGATTGCAAGATGATCTTAGAGATGTGTCTGGCCAGAGACCCAGCACAGCGAGCCACTCTGGAGGAGCTCCAGGCCTGCCCTGCCCTCAACAGGAACTAAAAAAACATATTTCCATTTTGATTGATGGATCTTCTTCGTATGGGACATGTGGATCAGAGTTTCCTCAAATGT